GGGGGAAGAGCCACCGCCTTTGCCAAGCACCGACAGGACTCTGTCCACAGGGGATCCTGTCCCGGAGGTCAGCACCACGCCCCTGGTGGAGACGCCACCCTCACTACCCCTGCCAGAGGCAACCACCACACAGCAGCTGCCAGCCACCCCCACGCCCCAGCCTCTGCTCCCCGGTCCAGGCAGGCCCGTGCCCTGTGAGCCCCACGAAGCAGCATGCCACAGTGGGCACTGCATCCCCGAAGACTACGTCTGTGACGGGCAGGAGGACTGCACGGACGGCAGCGACGAACTGGACTGTGGTGCGCACCGGCAGGGGTGGCGGGGTGCGGGTGGGGCGAGACCCACAGGGGGGGGCTGCCGCTGACCCCTGCCTGGCCCGCCAGGCCCCTCTCCGCCCTGTGAGCCCAACGAGTTCCCCTGCGGAAACGGGCACTGTGCCCTCAAGCTGTGGCACTGTGATGGCGACTTTGACTGTGAGGACCGTACCGACGAGGCCAACTGCCGTGAGTACCCGGGAGTCTGAACCCCTGGCCCGCCCTCTCAGTCAGGCCCTGGCTGAGGACGGAAGGCCCTGGATGCAGACCTCACGGCTCGGGTCTCTGGGCTCTGAGCTGCCCTTGGTAGGAAGCAGTGTGGTGGGCTGCTCGTGATTCCTGTCTATTTCTTCTCTTCGTTTTCATTACCATTTTTTAAATTATTTCATTTTATTTATTCATTCATTAATTTGACCAGTGAGAGACACAGAGAGAGAGAGAGGAAAGTGAGAAAGCAAGCTACCAGGTCCAGGACTTGAACCATGGTTGGCCATGTGGGAGTACCCAGCACCTTAACTACCATGCCACCTGCTGGCCCCTCGTTTTGTTACTATTAATCTCCTCTTTGGTGTTCGTGTGGCTCAGAGGGCCTGATGAGCCAGGGACCTTGGTGTACCTTACCCTAGGAGCCAGAGCTTTGTCACCTAAAGCTGGCTCCGAGTTACCGTTCCTCTCCCTGCCCATCTCCACCCACCTAGTAATCGTCCAGTGCATTCAGCCACCCACCGTCCGTCCAGCATCTGTCCTCCGTTCTGTCCACCTGTCCGCCCACCCAGCGTCTGTCTACCTGGCTCTCCCACATACCCACCCACCTGGCCAGCACCCTCCCACGCAGCTCTCCATCTGTTCTGTCTGTCCATCCCCTGCCCTTTCCAGCCCATCCGTTGTTCATCTTCCCAGCTCCATCCATTCGCCCGTTTGTTCATCCGTGCACCCACCCATCCCACATCCCTCGCTCCCGTGCCCCAGTCCACCCACCCGTCTACATGCTACCCATCAGCCCTCAGTGCTGTGGACTCCATGACAGTCAGGGGCGCGGTGACCGGCATGCTGGCAAGGCGACTGGGCAAGATGAGAGTGACCCTTGGGCCCCCCTGGGGACAGTGGGCAGGGCTAGGCTGCTGGGGTAGGTGGGAGCGCTGTGCTCTCCCTGGGGCCAGTGCTGGTGCCCATCCCTGGCTTTGTCCCCCAGCCGCCCAGCAGCCCGGGGAAGTATGCGGGCCCACAGAGTTCCGCTGTGTCTCCACCAACACCTGCATCCCGGCTAGCTTCCACTGTGACGAGGAGAGTGACTGTCCTGACCGCAGCGACGAGTTCGGCTGCAGTGAGCAGTGGCAGGGGCTGGGGATGGGAGTGGGGGACACGGGACGTAGGGGGTTCCACAGGCGTCATGCAGGCCCCGCCCCTGCTCCTCCCACCTGGCTCCTGGAGCCCTTTCCTCCCCCTCTCCTCTGCCCTCGACCCTTAGCCTCTGACTCCTTCTCTGGTCTCCCCAGTGCCCCCCCAGGTGGTGACCCCTCCCCAGGAGTTGATTCAGGCTTTCCGGGGTCAGACGGTGACCTTTACCTGTGCGGCCATCGGTGTCCCCACCCCTATCATCAACTGGAGGCTCAACTGGGGCCACATCCCCTCGCATCCCAGGTGCGACTTGACCCAGCTAGGGGGAGGGAACGTGGGGGAGGCTAGGCCTAGGCCTGACTCTGCTGCTGTCTTGGGCTCACCAGGGTGACAGTGACCAGCGAGGATGGCCGTGGCACCCTAACCATCCGCGATGTGAAGGAGGCAGACCAGGGTGCCTACACGTGTGAGGCCATGAACGCCCGGGGCATGGTCTTTGGCATTCCCGATGGCGTCTTGGAGCTCATCCCACAGCGAGGTAGGGGCCAGGGGAGGCAGGTGGGGTGGGCTGTGGAGCAGAGCCACCTGTGAACTGCTCTATGCTGGCCACAGGGCCCTGCCCCGATGGGCACTTCTACCTGGAGCACAGTGCCTCCTGCCTGCCCTGCTTCTGCTTCGGAGTCACCAGCTTGTGCCAGAGCAGCCACCGCTTCTGGGACCAGATCCGGCTACGCTTCGACCGGCCTGATGACGTCAAGGGTGCGTGGCAGGCCGGCAGGTGCTGGGAGGTGGGAGGTGGGCACAGGTGCCCAGAGGGCTTAAGGACTTGTGTGGGACGGATGGGGCCACATTTCGGAGAGCAGCACAGTTACTGAAGACATACGGAGTCCCAGAGAAAAGCATCTCAAGGGAAGTCAAGCGTGTTAGGAAAAGCCACCCCTGCACTTACCACTTACCTGGTTCAGTGTGCAGAAGGCGGGCCCTGGAGCCCGGTGGCAGGTTCAGACCCTACCCTGACACTTAGGCCTGTGTGCCTTTGTCAGGTTGCTTACTGTCTTGGGTCTTGGGTGTTCCCCCGTAGAAGGGGTGTGAAATGATGGCCGTCTCCGAGGGTGTTGTAAGGACCAACGGGTTAATGTGGGCAAGACTGTCAGAAGCGGGCTCGGCCACAGTCCACTCCCACAGGTATTTGTTAATGTCCTCCCGGTCCTCCTGAGAGGCCAGTGTCCCTGGAATGTGAGCGCCCAGGCTTTGTGTCCCGCTGCAGCGCTGGCCTCCTGTGTGACTTTGGACAGGCCTCTTGGCTCCCCTGGGCCTCTTTCTGCTGATGCGAAGGCACCTACTTCTTGGCTCAGTTCTGTCCAGCCCTGAGAGGCAGAGCGGCAGGGGGCTGAGCGCGTGACCCAGACCTGCAGCAACCTGGGTTCAGGCCCAGCCCTGCGCCTGTCACCTGTGCCAGGCAGCCCGTCACCTGTGCCAGGCAGCCCGTCCTCTCACCGAGCTTCCTCGCCTTCGTCCCAGAGGACTGGATCTGTGGGGAGGGCCAGCTCCTCAGGTGGGAAGCCCTCAGCAGAGGTGGCCTGAGGCCCCTTCATCGATTGAAGTGCCTCGGAGTGGCTTGGAGAGACTTGCTACCCCCAGTTTATTTATTCTGATGGCCACGGCACCATCCGTGGAGCACTCAGTTGGCACTATAGCTTGACCAGTCGCTGGATAGCCAGTCATCCCTGTGGGGTTGGGCTGCTTTTTGATTTTTTTTTAATTAATTAATTTCTTTATTTTAATTTGACCAGACATACACACACACACACACACACACACACACACACACACACACACAGAAAGTGAGAAAGAAAGCCGCCAGGTCTAGGACTTGAACTGTGGTCAGCCATGTAGGAATGTCCAGCACCTCAACCACCATGACACCCGCTGGTCCCTGAGGGCTGCTATTTTTTTTTTATAGCATTATTTTTTTTATTAAACTTTATTTATGTATTTATTTTAATTTGACCAAAGAAGGACAGAGTGAGAGAGAGAGAAGGTGAGAAAGCAAGCTGCCAGGTCTGGGACTCGAAATGCAGTTGGCCATGTGGGAGTCCAGAGCCCTTAACCACCATGCCGCCTGCTGGCCCCAGTCAGGGCTGCTTTTAAAGTTATAAAATGAGATCCAAAAATAAAAACCAAGCAGTTGAGGGCCCTAAGGCTGAGATCGAGGGGCTCCCCTGGGGTCACAGCTATTCAGAGGCAGAGTTGTAACCCAGACCTGTCTCACTGGGATTGCAATGGCTGGGGGACATAGCTTTCAGAGTAAGCAGGTGGCCTGTGTGTGGATGGTGACCAGGATGGAGGGAACCTGAGAGTGTTCCGGAAGAGAGGCAGGATGGAAGGCCTGGGGTTATGTAGCCTGGACTTGGTGGCTGAGAGTGGACTTTCTGCAAACGTGGAGCGTAGTTCTCCATGGCTGCAGGAGGGTCACCTTCAGGATCGAGGGGGCAGAAGCCGTTGACAGACACTTGTGGGGTCTAGGGCCAGCCAGTGGCGTGGCGTTTAAGGCAGCTAGATCCTACATGGCCAGCTGTGCCGTCTGAGTCCTGGACCCTGCTGCTTGGAAAGCATACTGGTGTGTCCAAAATCCCAAGAGGAGAGCAGAGGAGGAGGGATTGCAGCATGGCCGTCCCCGTGGGGGGTGCTTTCTCAGTTTCCTTTCTCTCTGTCTCTTTCTGGCAAGCACACGGGCCCTATGGCAAATTAAAAATGAGACAAAGGCTCACTGCTCAGTCAAACTATCCGGGGCTAGGAGGGACGGCGTTTGGAGGTAGTGGGCTCCCATCCCTCACAGCTGCGTTACCCAGTGTGGTGGTCACTAACCACAGGGCTGTTAGACATGGAATGACAATGCACTCCTTACCTGCTCCGGCAGCATTGCCAGGGCTCGGTAGCCATGTGCCCTCCCGGACGGCTCTCTCGGACAGTTGCAGAGAACCGGGAGGGTGCTGTCGGGGGACTCCGTGTGGGGCTGACTCTTGGCTTGTCTGTGTAGGAGAGGATGGACTAACCAACCCTCATAATAGTAACAAGAGTCAACCATTTTTCAAGCACTTCCTTTGCACCTTAATTTTTTAAAGCCTTTTATGTCAATTGGCCATTTTATCTTTAAAATAACTCTACAGAGCATTTTGCAGCTAGGGAAACTGAGGCCTTCTCCCGGACTCCGCCATCTGAATGTGGTACAGCCGCACTCCAGCTCCTGTTCTTCAGTCCCATGTAGCTGTCCCCTCGGTCTCCCCAGGGCAGTTCCTGCCCTGACAGTCTGTGGGTCTCTTAGCAAGCAAGGCTCTGAGAAGTCCTGTGACAGAGAACCCCTGCCCTGTCTGTGACTGAATTCCCAAATGGCTCCCAGCCACTATTCTGTAGCGTTGGCCTTCCCTGGAACACAGCTCAGCCCCCTCTTTTGCCCTCCCGGCAGGTGTGAATGTGACGATGCCTGCGCAGCCCGGAATGCCACCCCTGTCCTCCACCCAGCAGCACATTGACACTGTCCTGCAGGAATTCCAGCTGGTGGACCTGTCCCGTCGCTTCCTCATCCACGACTCTTTCTGGGCTCTGCCCGAGCAGTTCCTGGGCAACAAGGTGAGGGGCCGCACTGTATGGGAAGGGCGGGGCTGCTCTCCTGGCTCAGGCCTGCTTGGGCTCTGAAGCTGGTGGGCGGCGGGGCAGAATGAGCTCTGGGGGAGAGGACAGGCCTGGCACAACCCCATGGGCACCGGCTCCTTCCTTTGAGGTAGAATCTCTGCCCACCACTCCTGGTTTCGGACAAACTCTTACTCAGGCTTAGAAAAGAGCTGGCATCCCCTCCTTCTGACAGCCCTCCCTGCCCACACCTGGCCAGGCTCAGTGCCCTTACTCCAGCCCCCAGCATTATCGTACTCCTTGTCCATGGGCTGAGCACCCCAGGGTTGCAGTCTCAGCGGCAGGCATGCAGTGAGCAGTGGGTAGGCAGACTAAGGGAGGGGCAGAAGTCTGGAAGAAGTTGCTCTGGTGAGCACCACGGCAGGAAGCAAGCCCACCACCGCCCTGTCTAATCCACCTGTCCCGGCCAGGTGGACTCCTATGGGGGCTTCCTACGCTACAAAGTGCGCTATGAGCTGGCCCGTGGCGCCCTGGAGCCAGTGCAGCGGCCAGACGTGGTCCTGGTGGGAGCCGGACGCCGCCCAGTCTCCCG